TTGAGGATAGTGAGGAAAACAAGAGCGAAGAGGATAATAGACTGGATGACAAAGATGGTGATAAGCATGAGGATGTGTTTGAGAGCATGGAAGTTGACATTAAAGATGATAAACCATCTGTTCAGGATGTCCCTGATTGTATGGCATCCAGTGTTGTAACCACAAAAAGCGAAAACACAGCTGAAGAAGATCCAACTACCACGGCCAAGGATCCTGCAGAGCCTGCTCCTGCTCCCAAGGCTCGCTCAACTCGCACAAAGCAGAAGGCATTGCAGTTGCCATCAACATCTGAAGAAAGTGAAGGAAGCCTTGCAACATCCAATTCAAATGCTCCTCAATACCCTGTACCAAAACCTCGTTCCACCCGCACCAAGCAGAAGAAGGAGGCCCAGTTAGGTAGCAGTTCCGATGAAGCCAATGTCCAGATGCTGCCACCAAAGGAGATGCCGAAGCAGAGAACAACACGCACCAAAACTAGAGCTAGAGAGCCCGTGACATCGGAGAGCGACAAGGAAACTTTAGAAATCCATTCATCCAATGAGGAGGAGGTGCCTGTTCCCAGCAGTCCAGTCAGCAAGAATAAGGAAGAGTTGGCCAAACACTTCACTCAGACTAAGCCAAAAGAGACTGAAGTTGAAAAGGAGGAGAAAGAAGTGGCAGATTCTCCAAAGCCGAGGTCTACCAGGACAAAGAAGCGCCAGGCGAACGAGTCCCCAGTTAAACAACAGAGCAGAACCACAAGGACAAAGCGCAGGAAGGTTGAGGAGAGCGAGAATGAAGTCCCAGCACCTGAGAATAAAAGTCTGGTACTCACACTGTCAGACTCTGAAGAAGAGGAGGTTCAGAATGCTACTTATGTTAAGGGAGACCAGACCTCGAAACGTGATCACTCAGTGGAGTCTGTTTCTTCGGAGGCTTCAGTGAAATCTTCTGCTTCGACTGCTTCCTTCGCTTCAGCAAAGTCAACTAACTCTGTTGTAAATGAGAAGCCAAATGCTCGTCCTCAAGGCCAGAGGGTGACTCGCTCCAAGGTGAGGCAGCTGCCCAACTTGTGTGCAAGCCCCAAGAATGCCACCGTCAAGAAAGGAATGTCTCCTGCCAAGAGCAATCCTGCTGGAACTCCAGGGAAGGCGAACTTCACCAGAGGGTGCTGCACTCCAAAGTCTGAAAGTGGAACACCAAAGGGTATGCGACTACAGCAGGTTGAGCCTCATGCCAGAAGTCCTGTGAAATACTCCCCTCGACCTTTTGCCAGGTACTGTAGGCTTTCTGGATATTTTCCTCAGTACATTCAGATATGAAGAAATTTGATTATCAATCCTTTTATTACCTCTGTTTCCTCCTTCCAGATTTTATAACTTTGATATTTTTGCAGCAAAAAAACAGCAGCTTCTGTGCGAGACATGGCAACTGCTTACCAGAATTATGTTGGAGAAACGCTAAATGAAACAGAGGAGGTATGTTTGCATTGGTAGTCTTTGTTGTGCTTTCATCATTCACTTCAGAAGTGGAAAAAGTAATGTGAATATCTAATGATCTACATGTAGCATCAAGTATTAGGTGCATTGTAAATATAAGTCTAACATAAGGCCTTTTTACAGGTCGTAGCCACACCAGTGCGAGTGACTCGTCACTCTCATGGAAATGGCAGGGTGAGTTTTTTTCCTATCTCAATCTAGGGATTTTTAAGACCAAAATATATTCTTTTAAAAATTATTTAGAGGAACATAAGCTATTTTTCTGAGATTTATACCTAAGATGAGGAATTTTTAGCCATGAAATAACTCTTTGTCACTTTATTATGAATATGGTTAGACAGAAGTAAAAAGCAGAAGAAACTCATCTGTTGTGTGCCATTGCCTGTTAAGCAAATTAGCGTGGGTGGCAAGGCTACAATGCCATGCCCACTGTAATAAATGTTTATTTATTGTCTTTACACATTAGATTGCTCTACAAGTACTTAGGCACCACGGAGTCAGCTATTAGTCTTACCTATCTCATCTGTTTACCCTTTTACATTATTTTTGAAAAGGTTCATTTCTGTTATTTTATTGTCTTGGATGTTATTAATATTTTAATTACAATTTAATAATCATGATAACAATATCAATATCAATAGTATTGGAAAGGAAAACACCTTTTCCCACCAGCTCCAGGAATGGGGAAATCAGGACTGGTCACTGATAGACTCCTTGTTAGCTGAGCTCACGTGTATGTAACAAAACTCACTAAAATCTGAAGGGGACAGTACATAAACCCAATGGCATTGGGTTAAACAGTTGTGAATTGTATACAGAATGCAAAGAGTATCATTTGTGAAAATGGAGGACAGTTAGATATAAATTCTCTCTCCTCTCTTTTAATTAGACATGGTATTTGGTTTAGAGGTATTTTTACTGTTAAACTACCCAGTACATGCCAAAGTAACTTATACAAGATCATGATAGGCTGAGTCTTAATCTTCTACTGGCTCTTGGTTATTGTCTGTGGTACTGCTCAGTTTCTCAAGTCATTCTGAAAAGAAGTACCAAGAAGGGAGGGCATAGTAGGAGAGAGTCACAGTCCTAGTTCTCATCCCTAAACATATTATGCCAACAGCAAGAGAGTGCTACCAAAAGTGCTGCTCGAAAGAGCCTCAAGCGTGCCAAAGAAATAGCGAGGGCGGCTGATCTCAGAAAGAGAGAAATCCAGGAGGATGATGAGGTGTGACGTTGCTAAGGGGATAGTGACTAGCAAAGGGGATGTAGCAGGTTGTGGTGCATAGATGGAAAGAAACACAGCAAAACCTATAATATAGGATAGAAACTTGTAGTATCATGGTAGGGGTCTGTTTTGTAGTTCTGTCCAGGAAATGTATGAATTTCTTTTGAGAGGTAATTAATAACAAAAAAAAAAAAAAAGCTGTTTATGCTATACTACACATCAAGTTATATAGAATGAGCATATAACCTGTAAATCACAGGCCTTGTTGAGGGTTTAATACTGCAAGGGGATTTCATGAGTATAGTATACAAAAATCAGTTTGGTGTCAAGTAGTTTATTGTGTTTAATGCTTAGAATAGTGTCACATGAGTCTCTTAGGATTGAATGTAGATTAATGTAAAAAGAAATTAATCATAGGAAACAGATCTGTCACAGATTTTACTTTTCTAACTGCAGTATTTAGTTTAATGTGGGTGCAAGACTTTGGTTTTTAGCAGTGGATCATAGAATTGTCAAAACTAACCAGAGTTCTGATATAATTAGATCCTTACTGAAATAATTACATGTTTATTATGTACATTCACTCACTCTCTCACTCACTCACTCTCTCACACTCTCACTCTCTCACTCTCTCACTCTCTCACTCTCTCACTCTCTCACTCTCTCACTCTCTCACTCTCTCACTCTCTCACTCTCTCTCTCTCTCTCTCTCTCTCTCTCTCTCTCTCTCTCTCTCTCTCTCTCTCTCTTTTGATCTGTATAAAGCTTTATTATCGATGCATTTCATTTTTTAGGGTCATTCTACATTTTTCACATGGTCCATTTTGTACTGGAGTTTGCATTATTTTTCACTACTTTTACTTGTTTCAATTGTGAACCTCACTAAGAAAGCATCCTTTCCCCCTAGACGCCAGACTCCAGAGGGCCAAGAATAAACCCCGCCCGGACACCGTCACCACACTGTCCTCCTGAGAAGGTCGGTTAGGGTTGTTTTTTTTTTTAATTTGTGCTTCACTTTATATGTATATGAATATTTTAAAAAATTCTTTTCTTACTTTTTCTTTTCTTCTTTTTTCTTACCTTATTTTACTGCAGATGCGAGTATGAATATATTTTAAGAGTTGCCTTCTTTTTTCAAAGAAAAGATAAAAGAGCCTTGATTAACAATGAATTTCAGAAAGTCTAATGTCTCTTTGTTAGATTTGTTTATTCACATATTAGCGTTTGTTTCTATAACTTCTGATTTTTGTTATTGTTGGTTAATTTATTTTGCTTGTCATTGCTTTGTCATTTTTTACGACATATATAACAACAAAACATTGTACATAACAAACATTGTAAATTGAACAAAGATGAGTGCTAGCTAGTCAAATGGTACAAAATATGACAAGGCAGTTGGGTCATACGATAATGTAATATACAGAAACACCACCACAACTTGATTGTCATAAACACAAAATTGAATAAGTGACATACTGTCTTTGACTAATCCCTTAATCTTTCTTGTGTTGCTATCAATACCAAAAGCATATGTGAGAATATGGGGAAGGTGTTTTTCTGAGGGGGGGGGAGGCAGTGATCTTGGGTGTCACATTTTGTAAAGCCGCTGCCTATTTCATTGTTGAGTATTTTACTACTTCCATCTCTCTCTGTGACAGGCTATCAAATTTTGTTTGTGATTATTGACTTCAGCTTCAGTGTTTTCTTTGTTCTGATTTTTATTCATTAATATCTTTCCTCCCTTTGGCAGGTTATCCGACCCAAAACTGGAAGCATACATAGTGGTAGCTCGAATTATGGAAGCTCGGGCAGAGTAACCCCCAAAACATTCTCTAGAATTAGGCCTGTGCTCGCTTCATCAAATGAATATGCAAAGGTTCAGAAGGTAAGGTTTCTTTTACTTGTAATGCTAGAAAGGAACCTTATAGTTTCTTTTAATTACTCTTCTGACATCCCTCTCAGTTTATGTGAGATAACTTGATCTCCTGTTTTCATCACAAATACTAAGCCTAAACCATCACACTATTATTAAGGATACACTTATCATTACCACCCCATGACACCATATCCAACACCCTTTGCCCCATTGCAGAAGGTCTGGACCCCGACAGAGGGCAACCGCACGAGGGCCATCATGACCACAGGTACGCCAAATGAGGCCAAGCGCATCAAGAACATCGGCACCGTGTCGACCTTCATCAAAGTGGCGCCCTCCAAGCCGTCACGCGAGGAGATGGAAGAGAAGAAGCAGATGGAGCTCTTGAAGAAGAGAGAGAGGGAGGAGGAGTCCAGGAGGAAGAAGGAGGAGCTTTTGAAATCCAAGGCCGAGGACCAGAAGAGGTGTGTTGCAGCTCCATCGTCTGTTATCATTGTCATTTTATAGTTCTTGTTTTTTGTTATTGTTATTTTATTTTGTTATTTATTCATTATGTTTATTAATTGTTAATCATCATGATTATTGATATTTATTTATTTTAGTTATTGATGGTGGTTGTGGTTTTAGTAGTATTATTTTCAATATTATTTGTATTAGTATCATTATTATTATTGTATTTGTTATTATTGTTATTTATTTATACTTTCTGTATATTTTTTGTCTTTCATTAGTAGTTTGCTGGTTTTATTATTATTATTACAACATAAAGACATGTTCAAGCACATGTGATGGTGGCAAAGTATTTATTGTTGGCTTCTGCCTTGTCAACAGGCGCAATGAAGAGAGAATGCGCCGTGTACAGGAAGCTAGAGAGGAGAAGGAGAGAAAGGCTGTTGAAGCCAAGGAGCAGCAGGAACGTGATAGGAGGCTGCGAGAAGAGAGGCTGAAGGAGGAGCAGCAGCGCAAGAAGCAGCAGCTCCTAGCCAAGAGACGCGCTGAAGAGGAGGCCAGGAACCGCAAAATAAGAGAGCAGGTAGGCATGAGATGTGTTTCTTGCAGATCTTTTGTTTCAGGATGTTTTTATTCCTTAACCCTTTCAGGCTTGGTAGGAGGGTTAATTAGATCCTGTACTTGATATTTTGGTAATAGGGGTGAATTTGGTTGAGAATGCGAGAGTGAAATTGAGGTCCTACTTTGATATGGATGTTGTGTTGATATCTGGCAGCTAATATCCCTCGAAGGGACATGATAACAGTACTTAAATATTGAACTTATTGGCTTGGTACGTCTGAGAGGACCAGCCACTCAAAGGGAAACCAGTCCTTCCATTGTGCACTCAGAGATAGACTGTTTTTTAGATATGATTTGACTTGCATATGCTGTCTTATAATACCAGATTGGGGGATGATAGAAATTGGCTCACAGATTTGTATTCTGAAATTTCAGCAGGAGGAGGAGGAGAGAAGGCGACAGCAAGAGGAAGAAAGGAGAATAGAAGAGGAGAGGAAATTGGAGGAGGCAAGGAAGGCTGAAGAAGAGAGACGTGCTTATCTTGCTGAGCAGAAACGTTTGCAAGACGAAGAGAAGAAGAGGTTAGTTCAGATATCTGTGTTGGGTGTTGCTTTGCTTGCAGAATAGTTTAAGATTCTGATATTTATTAGTAATTACATCCTGTTGGCTTTTGTCCTGAAATTTCCAGATTATTTATTATTAAAATGTCACATAACTAATCAATTGTTGTCTTTCCTTAGACGAATTGCTGAAGCAGAACGTATTCTTAGGGAACGCAAGGAGATGGAGAATCTCAGGTTGCGTGAAGCAGAGAGAATTGCTCAATTGAAGATGGCTGCTGTTAAGAAGGTATATCAACATTTTATAATTTTGTGAATGCTATATGACCTTTGATGAGTTGCACATTTATTTGTTAAAACTATTATCATTATCATTTTGTGTAAAAGGGGATGATAATGAGGGAGTGATTTGAATAAAACCAAATGCTACGAAGAGTAAGATCCTTTCACAATATTAACTTATTAAACCTCTTTTAGGCTGGACTGAATGACACATACAATGCCAATGACAACAAAGAAAACAGCAGCAACCTCAACAGCACTTTTACGAAGACTAGTGGCCAAACCCAAGCAAGCAGTCAAGGGAACTCTGGGCGTTCAAATAGCTATGACATGACTCCTGAGATGAAGAAACCAAAGAAGCTTGCTAATGCCAACAACTATGACATTGGTGACATTAAGAGTGATGACTCTACGGATGATGAGTCAGCTCCTAAGAAGAGAATTCCACCATGGGCGCAAGGTATGTTCTTAGTTGACAATTTGCATGAGGAAAATTACATGGGCTATAGAGTTAATTGCATGTGCTATAAGTTATGTTACATGAATGTTAGTTCCACCCCAGCTTTTGAGGTGAATAATAATTTCATCAAAGCTTTTAATGAAACACAAATATTTCACCCATTGGATCCATGTGCATTGCTGTCTGCATGTGGCCAAAAATCTTGGCATTAGGCTTAATTGAGTGGTATCTCTCCCAAGTGTGTGATTTGTAGCACAGACCACACAAATACCTGTGTGTAGTGTCAAGATGCCTTGCTTTGAAATGATATTATCTCTCTTTATGTATAAGCATTTTTTGTTTTTTTGACATTCTCCAATGTCTTTGTTTTTTAATCCAGTAAGCATGGATGGCAAGACTACAATGCCATGCCCACTGTAATGAAAGTTTATCTATTCTCTTTACACATAGATAGCTCTACAAGTGCTTGGTCATCGAGTAGTCAGCTAGTAGTCTTACCTATCTCACCTTTTTACTCATTTCCTTGATATTTTGATAGCTTCATTTCTATTGTTTTATTGTCTTTGATGATGTTAATATTTTGATAAGTTTAATCATCAAAATATCAATAAGAATGATACCAATGTCAGTATTAATAGTATTGGAAAGGAAAACATTTTCCTGCCAATGCAATAAAAGGGGAAATCAGGATTGGTTCACTAGGGCCAACTGATAGACTCCTTGTTGATTGAGTACATGTGGTGCCATCTGTATGTAACAAAACTCACTAAAATCTAAAGGGGACAGTACATAAACCCACTGACATCGGGTTAGATGCAGTATCAAGATAGTAATAGGCCGTTCTCCTTGCAGAGGCGACATATACTTCTCTAGGTAGTCCATTTCAGTGCAATACCAATAACAATAAGTAACATTTTGTTATTTGTATAATTTTTTTTTATATTCATGTAATATTAAATTTTTTTGCAATACACCCAGTTCTGCTTGTCATGGCAGGCGGGAATAGGATCAAAGATGGTACATTCCAGACTTGTTTTCCTAAATACGCACGGAGTCCAAGCATCCCCCAAAAGTTTTGTTCCACCATATGCAGCGGACTCCCCAGAAATTTCTGTTACCGTCATTGTAGGTCAAAGTTGGCCTGAAATATTGATTAATAAAAGAAAGAAATTCAGAGAGTATGTTATTTTTAATTTTTATTTTTTATTTATTTATTTATTTATTTATTTATTTATTTATTTATTTATTATTAAAAAATAAATTGAATAGAGGTAATTTACATTAAGGCGTCCTTATTCTAGTAATTGTCCAACTTATCTGTTTCTGCTGGAATTTTGCTTTGAGGAATGTGTTAACACATACTGTAGATGGCTCCACAAGTGCTCGGTCTCCAAGAACTCAATTAACAGGCCTACATGACCTTATAGATTTCTGTTTTTTTTTTTCCTAAGCCTTTGATTTTGATACTGTTGTTGTTAACAATTTGATGATAATAGTCCTACCACCAATATTAACAACAATGTCAGATAAAAAAGGATATTTCTGAAAATCTAGAAGGATAAACAGGTGAGATTAGTTGGACTAGTAACTGACTCCTTGGTGACCAAGTACTTGTAGGGCCAACTAAGTTTATGCATAATTAATAGACTATACTCTCAATGGGCATGGCATGAACATACTTGTCATCATTAGTGGCAGTGGGTTAAGAGTAAATATGACCCTTTAGCCCAGTAACTGACCTACATCATTTGCTGAATATTTGTTACATATAGTTTTAGCTGTAGATAGTTGGATATCAGACTTCCAGATTCCTTGATTGTATAGCTCACAGAATACTTGCCTCTAAATACACTAACATGCTTACACTCATAGACTCATTTATCCAATATCCTATTTCTCCTTCCACACTTCCTAATGATTGTCATAATCAGGCTATGAGTAACACCTTGAAATTCAACTTTGGCATCTCTCCTTCCAGGGTCACAGCTGAAGCTGTCTCTCATCAACCAGGAGTACAACCCACCAGCCATGGACGGCATATTCCCCCCAGAGGAGCTTCTCACCATGCCTGATCTCAGCCAAATCTTTTCCATCCAGCGCAGGAGATTCTTCAAGCGCACGTCCTCGGCTATTTGGAACACCCCACCTTCAAAGCTGTTTGAATCATATTGATTTAATTAAATATTTTTATTGATTAGATGTAGGGTTTTCATCATAGTGTCTACTTTTCATTTTCTCTGTCTGTGAATGCTTGATGTGAATGCGAATGAAGGCTTAGATATCCCGATTTTATTTTTATTTACATCTGATTAAATGGTGTATAGCATGTATGAATATTGTTCTTGACAAGTCTTTGTATGTATTTTCTTTAGAGGAAATAATTGGACTCACTTTTTTTTACTCATTTTTATGATATTTGAAATTCATATTACCAATTGCCAGTCGGTAATTTTCATTCATATTAAAGACTTTTTTTCCGAAATACCTCTGTCCTCTCTTCTCCTGACCTTTCACACGTTTCATACTTTTAAGCAAAGGGAAAAAAGTTTGCCCATTGTTGTGTTATTTAAGGAAGAGAAGAGGGCAAGACATCACTTCAAGACCTATCATTACCTGTAAATATGTATTTCCTGTAGGGACTTGATCACAGTACGACTGTTGTCTTTAGTCTGTGCTCTGACCATGATCTGAATGAGAATAAACGAAAAGAAAAGAAAGGAGGGATGAATGAGACAATATTGTTGATCTTCTCTGTGCTGTATTGGAATAAGTTGCATACTCTTATCTTTCTCTTCCTTCTTCCTCTCCCTTTCCCTCTTCGTCTCCTTCTCCTTTTCCCCTTATTCTCTCCCTCTCTCTTTTCATCATCTTCCTTTTAGTATTTATCATGGCAAAAATCATCATCATCTTTTCATCATTTAGAGACATGACCATTACATGTCTGTTTTTTCACTTAATGGGTAGTTTTACAAAGAAATAGGTGTTCTATTTAGAGCTTTACCATTATTATTATTTTTACTTTGATTTATTAAAGTGAATTTTGAAGTTATCCAGTCTCAGCAAAAGGAATTTTTGTATTCTAATAAATAGTATCACCTTCACATGAAA